TGGTCCTGTTCAATTTCGTTGGATGTACCCATTTGAAAGGTAAAACATACAAAGAAATTGATAATTTTAAAACTTACTTTTGATTACTTTTTTTTTAAAAAATTAATCTTATCAGTATTTCTTTTCAGGCGCATGCGCAAACTTAAGAGTACCATAGGGAATAAAAATCATGTCGAGACATTAATTGTCGAGGCATTTATATTATATGAGATATCCCACTTTTGCTCTTGTTATTTTGGGGATGATGTTGAGACAAGTTGGAATCAACCTCCAAGGAACTATGGTGGCATTGGAACTAACGTCCTAGGTAAATTATTCGTATTTTGTTCCCCTGGTGAATCAATAGGTGCCCACTCACGTACACGATGTTTAACATTGGAGGAGAAAGATGCAGCTAAACTATACGTCTTGCTCAATTGCAAGCAGGTTGATGTTTGGGTAACGTAAGTTTTACTTCTTAGGAAATAAGAACTACATAATGTTTAATAGCCTATATGATTTTCATAACGTTTAATTAATAAATAAATGTTATTTTACAGTAAATTTGAGGAAGAAGTTGGTGCAAATTTGCCACATGAACAACTACAAAGATTGCGAACAAATAATTTTGTTCAATGGTTTAAAAATATGGCAATAAATTGTTATATATTATTTTCTCAAAATTTTAATTAAATATTTAATATTACTAAATTAAATTTTTTTTCAAATATAGGTGTTTAGTGGACAATATGAAATCAACGAACAACTTATCCACCTTGTAGTTGGCCCGATCTTTGAAGTGAATGTTTATAATGGGTTCTACGTGAACGGCTTTAGATTTTTGACTGAAGAGTTTACTAGTAATAGAAAGACATATAGCCGTGGTATTTGTATTAAAGGAACCACCATTAATTCTGTAGATGAAACTAATTATTATGGTGTCTTAAAAGAGGTGATCGAGTTATTGTATTATGGATACTCAGGCCATCAAGAGACTATAATGTTGTTTAATTGTGATTGGTATGACACAAACTGAGGAATACGTGTCAATGTTGAACACGGAATTGTTGATGTCAATTCAAGGTTTAAACTTTCAACGGGGGAGCCATTTTGCCTTGCTAGTCAAGCACAACAAGTTTATTATACTCCATATCTAGCAGCCACAGATAGAGCTACCCGAGGATGGTTGGCAACATGCAAAATCAAATCTAGACATCTAATTGAGACCTCATCTACCTCATCTTTAGGAGAGGTTGATGATATTTTTCAAGATGATGGCCTCTCCATAATGCAAGGCTCTTCATTAGCTATAGATTTAACTACATACCAATCACTTCAACTATGTGCAGAAGGTGTTACAAAAGTTGAGGTTGATGCTAATACATCTGAAGAAGAGAAGGACTATGGATTCGAAAAAGATTCAGAATCCTCGGGAAATAGTGATAATGTTGAGGATGATGATGATATCGATGATAGTGATGATTAATTGAAACATTTGTATTATTACTTATTAAATATATGTATTAAAATTTCTTTGTCTTATATATATTATTTTATCAAGTTATATATTTTTCATTTAAAATAGAATCATTGTATGATTGTTTTAAATTTGTTATTCGTTATCTGTATAAATGTATTAATAACTATTTTGTTATTCATTTTCAAGATGTCTGGAAATCCTGCAGGTTCAGCAAGGAGGAGATCTTCCTCCTCAGGATCACAAGGGCAACACAATCTTAATCACCCGCAGCTGTTTACCAATAGTGGCGTAGCTCCGGATATACAACAAACGATTGATCCATTAATGGATTATAATTTTGCACCCGATCATGAGAACGAGGGCCCTTCATCTTCGATGGGGAAAAAAGGATAGAGCAGGAATTTAAAAGGAATACACCCTCCAGAAAATAAAGAGAGCAGGAAATGGGTTAAACTCACTAATGATAAGCTCCAATTTGCTTATCCAAACATCCTTCGGGCTATCACTTCACTATGGAAGTCACGTTTTGATGGCCTGTATTTTACATACGAGCGTGTCCTCCAAAGCAAGATTGTTGAAATTTATAATTGTTTCAAGGTAAGATTAAGTTTTAGTAAATTTAATAAAATGAATGGATTTAGCAATTTCTAATAAAAATAAATAATTTCATTACTAAACTAGAATTTACATTTCTCAGACATCTAATGTTATTCATTTCTTATTTTGCAAACACTTCACCAGTGGGATCCTACAGATAATCACCATGTGCAAGATGCATTCCTAAATTGTATGAAACATAGATGGAGTGACAATCTCAAGGATGAGAAGTTGAAAGGGGACAAGAACTCAACCTATGTCCCATGTTGGATCCCAACTCATATATGGCCTCAGCTGTTGACATATTGGGACTGATGAATATAAGAGGCTCAGTGCAAGGGGAGCAAAGAATAAGAGCTCTAGGGAGAGGGTGACTCACATCACTGGGTCCATTAGCTTTGGCATCCATGAGATGCGGATGGTAATCAAGCTTAATTAATAAAAAATTTAATATATTAAATTTTATTTAACAATAAATTGTGTCAATTTATACTAATCAATATATTGCATTATCAATATTTTGAAATATAGACTGAATCTAGAGGTGGTGTGCAACCTCCCCATCAAGAGAAATTCAAGGAGACACACACCTTCAGAAAAAAGGCGGGAAAGGATCAAGAATCGGCATGGATTAATGAAAAAGCAAAGCATCGATATGTAAGTATATATAACATATAAATTAGCATAAAATGTATAGTTATAAGTGTCAAAAAAGTTTATGTAATTAATCTAAATTATTTAGCAAAGTCTACTTTTTTTTATAAATTCTTTTCAAACTGCTTCTGACAACATTATTACTATTATTATTATTTTTTCAGGATACTTATGTTGCGGAGTGCACAGAGAGTCATGGCTCTGATGCTAGTTCGTGGCCACACATGGATAATGAGGCATGGGTTAAGGCTATTGAAGGTTGCTCATCTAATTTCATGCCAGGGATTGGCTCCCAAGTAGACTTGGCAATTTTTTACCCAACCAGTTAACTCACCCATTACCCGCCCGTTTAAAACAGATTAGGGTCATATATTTATGACCCGTGACCCGTTAATGACCCGTTAAGAAAACCCGACGGGTCACGGGTCAATAACGAGTTGACCCATCGGGTTAATGGGTTTAACTCGTTTACCCGTCTAAAAATTTAAAATTTTTAAATTTATTATTTATTTATTTTGTTTTCTAATTTCCAATTCCACCTAAATCTCTAATAATTGACTAATATCCCCTAATTAACTAATTGATTCTCTTGACTCATCATCTTCTTCCACTCATAACTCACCTCCCGACCTTTCCTATTCTTGCTTGCCCTAATACTCTCGAAGACTCTAACTCTTCAAACTTCAAACTCTTCTCATATTCTTCAACCTCCATAGTCCATACAGCCTTTGACTTTCAAGTTTTGAGTCCACATTTTCTCTTTAATCTTTAATATTATCTTAGACTTAGATCTTAGTCTTATCGAGTCACCGTTGCGTCCACTCAGCCGTTTCTTTTTTTCTCCTATGAGTCTGGCAAGTGCTCTTTTTGTCATCAACTTTTCTCTCTAAAGACTTCAAGGTAAGTTGTTTACTTATTTATGCTTTTGCATTTTCTTTCCATTCCAAGTAAAAATTTTACTTGATTTTCTCCTTTGCTTACTTAGATGCATTCAATTGATTATTCTTTGAAAGTAATGACCAAAACAAATATGTTCTAATGGGATTTGTGTTTTTTGGTTATCATGTTATTACTGCTTTTTTTTTTTACTATTGAGATTTATAAGTGTAGTGTTCTTAAATTTGATTAGCGCAGTTTTTTTAAGGGAAATAAAAAAGTTGATTTTGAGGAACTATAAATATGTATATATTAAATTAATAAAAAAAATTATTTTTATAAGATTTTGAATTTCTTTTTTAAATCTTTTGAATAATTTCTTTGAATGATAATAGGTACAAATTATAGAGAAAAGGAAAAAGAAAAAAAATTTAATTGGGTCAACCCGCGGGTTGACCCGTGGCCTGTGATGGGCAGGTTAGGGTCCGCCTTCATTGACCCGTGACCCATTTTAACCCAACCCGTTTTGACCCGTTACTCGTTCTGACCCGATCCTAACCCAACCCAACCCGCTTGTTTGCCAGGTCTACTCCCAAGTAAATCCAGAGATGGTTGGTGTTACTTACAGGAAGAGACAACCCTGAGAAAACTTAATAGCAGCAATGATGGTGTCTGACTATGAGGAGGCATAGGCAAAACAAAATGAGGAGTTAGAAAGACAACGCCAACAAATTGCTCTGATGCAACAGTAGCTGGCCAATATGACACAAGCTCAAAATAATATGAACCAGACAATTGCGTAATCTGTTGCAGCAGCTCTAGCCGCTCATGGCATCTCCCCTCAGGCAGGTCATCATCCAGTTGCTTCACCATAGCCGTCACATGGTCCTGGCTCAGGTCTTCGCATGAATTCAGCTTTCACATACTCCACTGATTCTACACAAACTTCTCCTATGGTTCCTGAATATCAACAGTAGCAGTAGTTTTCACCTCGAGATGATGATGCATACCATCATGTTTTTGATCCAGATTATCAGGGTTCTTAGTTTTTTTATTTTTCTGCTACGCACATTATTTGCACACTTTGCATGGTTGGTTTTATTTCTGTTAGTACTTTAAATTGTTAGTTTTAGCTTTTCATTATGATATCTTTTCTTATTTTACTTGACCTCCCGTGATCATACTTCAAAAGGTATGAAGTTTTGGACTGTTTTGGAGGTTAATTATTATTAATTGAATATCGTGGGTATTTAAGACAATGGTGTGTGATTGCCATATTTTGTGTTTGTGGTTGTGGTTGTGGTTGTGGTTGAAAAGGTATAATTGTTTTTAGCATGCTAGACTTGTCAAATATAAGTGTTTTTCATTGCAAATGCAGGTAAAAAAAATTGGTTTTGATCATTTGTATGGAGAAATTCTGTCAAATTTTTTTTTTAGAATTTATGCCAACTAAAATGACCAAATTGCAAAAAATCTATTGAATAAATTTTAAATTATTGCATTTTTTATAACAAACTTGTAGAATTGCAAATGCAGATTAAAAAAAAAAACCTTTTATCATATATACAGGGGAATTTTGTTAAATTTTTTAAAAATTTATGTCCACTAAAATGTAAGAAATTTGTTGGATAAATTCAGAAAGTGGAAAATGAAATCTAGAAAGGAACTTAGGGAAAATGGACGAAATCTGAAGAGGAAGCTGGGGAATTTTTACTTGCCATGCTAGCAACGTAATCATAGTCGGTAAATTAAGGTTCCCACTTGAATCTTGTTGGTAAATTCAACTTTTCCAATGTGATTGTCACGCCCCAAAACCCGAATTCGAGGCGCGACAGACGCCGTGCACTCGTGAGAGAGTCTCACAAATGCATAAGGTTCGGAACTTATCCAATTCACAATCTGATACCATCAAAATCTGAAGACCAAATTTTAAAATTTGCTCTGATATTATAAAATCTCCAAATACACTCGAATTTACAAGATCATGATTTATATCTAAAATCTATATCAATCTCGAAATGGCTAGCCTTCTAACTCGTCACTTCCCGTAGTTT